ACACACACATATGTCCATACATACACGCACATTTTATACACATAAATGTATGCATTCTTACATGAATGTACATATATATCCACCCTGGCATATATATGTGTTGGATCCCATTTTTATTTTTCATATACATGTACAGATATACATGTACATCAATACATACCTGTGCTCACATAACAGACATACACATACACGCATATACAAATTATAGAGGCTTTTTTATTATATATATCTGCATATGTGTATATTAATATCACTATTTATATATATCTGTATACACCAATATCTATCTATCTATCTATCTATCATTATCTATCTATCTATCTATCTTGGACTCTCTCTCTCTCTATATATATATATATATATATATATATATATATAAATTCACCCTCTTCACTAAAGGACACCCATCTACAGAACCACCCTCACACACACACACACACACACACACATATATATATATATATATATATATACAGGGTAGGGAAAATTTTATAGCAAAATGGAAAAAAGTTGTGACGCGTTTTGTAGGACCACACATGCGCACTACAGAGGTGTGCTGGCAATTTTACAATTTTTTATCGATCCGAATTCATTTAGAGTATTTTCTTTTTGCTTTTCATCACTTTTGTAAGTATTTATTCCACATTGTGATATTAGAAGCTCTGCCAGGAATGGTGAAATTTTGTAAGGCCGTAAATTTACTGTAGATGACCTTGGGATTAAGGCACTCTCTAGACATTTACATCTTAGAGAATTATTTTCTCCTATGAATAGAGTAGTATGATTTTTTTTGTTACTATAGTGTCTACAATGTCTCCTTTGCGGATTCTGGTGGCAACTTTTAAATCGAAGCTGAGGGCTTCCTGTTCTGCATTGGGAAGCTTTATATTCGATAGATTTTCTATTTAGGCTTTCCAACATATTTTCACTTGCTGTTATGGCATAGACTGGAATCTGCAAAGGAATCATAGTAGACACTAGTGTAAAAAACAGTAAGCAAAATCACTCCTACTATACAAACCAACAACGAATTGAGTTCTCTAAGTTACTGTGTGTTTATCTAAAAATAAATACGCTTAAATTCACCTTCATCCGTGCCGAGCGCCAACGGATTAGTGGTAGAAACTCCGTCTAATGCCAATTCAGTCGGGTTTCGATCCTAGTTAGAGACAACCGGACATCTAGACACACTGATGAGCTGCGAAACAGTCTTTCTGTGGATGACTATATATATATATATATATATATATATATATATATATAATAAAAGGTTATGTGCTGCAGTAGTGGATAGCGGCTCGGAATGGAGAGCCGAGTAGGAATTTCAGTCGTTTTGCTTATGATATTTTACTATAGAGTCTACTATGTTTCCTTTGCTGATTCCGGTGGCAAATTTTAAACCGAAGCTGAGGGCTTCCTGTTCTGCATTGGAAAGCTTTATATCCGATAGATTTTCTATTATTTTAGGCTTTCCAACATATTTCTGCTTGCTGTTGGTGCATAGGTTTGTGATTTTTGTTGTTCCAGTTTGTTTTGATTGTCACTCATTTGTTTAACAGTTTAGTGTAGTTGAGTCATTTGCCGCTTTGTTACAATGTACTTTTTGCGGAGTTGCATTCCATATTGCAGCAGATAACTGTAATAATCTTCCATTTCCAGAAACATGCAAAATTGACACACGTACTCCTTGGGGATTGCGCTTTTGAAAAAAAACTGTTAGTCACCAAACAATTCAACATGCGGTCATTTTTTAAGATGGGCGTCATTGAATATACAGAAATATTGCATTTCGCAATAATATAGCAAAGATTTTGTCCTATTTGTATGATCTTGGTGTCATACATTTTTCACGAAGTAGAATCAGAATTTGGAACTATGTAGCTATTTACTAGCTTCCTTGTACCATAATAATAGTCTCGGAATCATAATTAGGGTAAAAAGTGTTCATATCATTGGCACCATCAGTTCGATATATTACGGGATGTACATGTAGGCAGTAGGCCTATACTTGTTTGCCGCATATTGTCTTGCTGCCTGGATGAGTAAACTCCAACATTTCTAAATCTCACATCTGCACAGTGTCGTACAAATCAGACCAAAACAGTAGAATCTGTATCGAGCACAGCATTCCGACTTGCATCCACACTTGGTCAGGTGCTGGCAACTCTCTGCAATGGGTGGGAGCTCTGTCTAAACGATCTGCCACAAATCTCCTTTCTTGGTCCGGCCCCAGTTGGCAGAGTCTGCGTTTCTGATTGGCGTACTGTCGACTGACACCAGATGCAGCCCGCCTGTTAGGCAGCATGTACAGCATGCTGCGTCAGCGCTGCTCGGATTTGGAGGAATGTCTTTGTATGGCATCTGCTTCCGAGAAAACATGTCCAACCGCGCATCATCGACACATTCAGCTGTGCTGGATCTGTCGTACATCATGACCACGAACTTTTCCAAAGTATCCAGGTCTTCATCATCCACTAGTGGGTACTGATTGAGTTTTCTGAAGACACCGGAAGTCTCATCACAGACACTCCAGGTTTGCCAAGCAGACTTCTTCCCTTTGCCACAGAATGCTGAAATATCACAGCCAGTGAAGGCATGAAAGAAGAGCACCCCTTTGTTTTTTTCTGCAAGAGTGAAACACGAATCATATATAGGAAGCAATATCAAGTTCTGTCCTTAGCCAAAGGCAACCCGAAACTATTGCAGACCTAGGTCTTGAAGTAACTGCAGGACACTGACTGCAATAACGACATCTGTGTCGCTGGCTTTGACCATGACTGCATAATGCAACCCCAGCCAGATTGATAGTGCATTTGCTGACAGCATCTTCTTCTTTGGTCACAGTGACCACATCAGTCAGAAAGTTGAACAGCTCGGCTTTGTTGTCATTTTCTGTTTGAGGGAATTTTGCCCTCCCTTGTCACCTTGCGTCTCACCCAGCGTCTTCGATTTGATCTAGTTTCAACTTTCAGACGAAAATGGTTGGTAGACATCGAACTCAATGTCAGTTCAATGTCAGAGTAAAAGCTTTGTATTATATGAAAAGGATATTGAGCACTCTGTCTTTGAAATCTGTGGGGGGCATCTGGCCCTGCCTCAGTGGTTGTAATTTGGCCCTCAAGAATGGTGGTGGATTTCTGGCAGGTGTGGAGCTTTCTACTATCAGTGAAGGCAACAGAATATCACTAGTTCTCCGTCAAGTCATACTCTCTGCTCTGGTATGATATGGACAGCTTGGAGAACAGTTGAAAGTCAGCTTGCATTATTTTTTGCTTTGAAGAAACAACAGACGCTGATACCTGTTGGAAATCCTGTTTTTCTTGATTGGTTCATAGAAAGTGGATTCTTCTTTTCCTTCAAGTCCCTTCATAAAGTCTTGGAAACTGACCTTGCCTTTCTCAAAGTATGTGTGGCATTTCGGTGAGCCATATCCTTTGCATCAAGTGAAAGAAGGTCCCGACTCTACCTTGGTGATGATTGGCCATATTTTGCATGACTTGTGAGAACTTTTCTACTTTCTCAAGGAAAACTCTTTGTGCTCGTTATGTCTCCTCATGTTGGCTGATGTCTTCAGTAGTCCCTTTGGTCCCACATGGTGTCTCATACTGTACAACTAAGTGGCTGAATTCAGGACCAACTATCATCCATCTTCTCAGTGCTGCTGGGTCTTCAGTCACGCTAATCGCACCCCGTCTGCCCTGATGAGAGTGATTTCCTGCTCATGAGTTTGGTCAATAGCCAATGCTGAGAACTCTCAGATCAATTTGCGTATAACAAATTGTCCACTCAGGAAATCCTGAGCCAGCTGAGTAGGGGATCGGAAGCCAATGTTGTTGGCAAAGAAATACGGTATCAGATCAGCCAGTGACTGGCAGTGCAGGAAAAAGTTGGCTTCCCTGAATGATCTGGTCAACAAGTTCCAGTGACAGCGCCATAAACCAGAAATGAAACTGGGGACTCAGCAGTTTGCGATGCTCACACCAAGCTTCGAAACTAGGCACCTTTACGGGTTGTTCATTTGTCTCTTTCGAGTAGTCTGTGTGGGCTGCTGTCAGAAGCTGGTACATATTGCATGCTGTTATCCAGTGCATCTGCTGTGTCCTAGTGATGATCAAAGCTGTCAGAAACGAATCTATTGTCCCAGGAGATGCTTACCTGCCCCCACGAGGGCACTTATCCAACTATTGTCCTGGAGTAGAGTTCTAATGGACTTCAATAAACAAGTCTCCGAGAATTATGACGAACTTGTCCTCACCGTAGATTTCAGGCCATTGCTACAAGACCTGCATTGTTACTACATATATTTGCTGATCAGCAGCAATGACTGTCACCTGACCAGAGTTCAGCAATGACACTATCTCCTTGATCTTATCCATCACATGCTTTTAGCCTTGATCTTGCAAAAGAGGCAAAAGTGAGGTAATGCGGACCTCAAAATAGCTTTCCTCTCTTCTGGGAAGCACGGTGGCTTGACCAAGTCAAATCCACTGGCCCATCTATCACGCTAACCTTCTCCAGCCACTCCCTAGCCAGTTGTGGCCACAGCAGACGAGATTCTAGATGTGTCACACCACTCTGAGAAGGAGAGGGTTTCTTCTTGGTGAACAGGCCGGCCGGACATTGGTGAAGGCGTTATCACTTTTAGTATCTGAACTTCAGCTGTCCACGTCTCTTGTGTTCTTTGGTTGGGTGCTGGACAACAGAGATGCTGGTTCCATGAAAAGAAGTAGTCTCAGTCGTTGCAGTGGAATTGTGGCCTATGTTTTCCATGGCTGATGTGGTGAACAGCCCTATTCGCAGAACTGGTGGACAAACCACACCATCCTCCACGTACTGTTACATCTAGCTGTGCATACATACATATATATATATATATATATATATATATATATATATATATATATATATATATATATATATATATGTCACTGTCGTATGAAATGCTGATGTCATGCTCATAAAGCATTCCCACCAACGTTCTCTTTCTGGTCCTCGTGTAGACGGACAGCTCCATGTAAACATCTCTTCGTCTATGGAGTGTCTGTGAGTTGCTGCTCCTTCTTTGTACGTTGTATAGCAGCTGAGAAAATGCTAGATCTGTCTTTGATGTGCCAAACCTCAGTTGAGATTTGATGTCTACCTCCGTGTTCAAGCATCACCACAAACTGAAGGGGAATGAGTGGAATGGCTTGCTCGATGCACCCCACCTCGATGGAAGGTTCCATCAAATGTGGAGTTGTGGTCCAGCATATACCTTCGCAAAATGTTAGCTGATTTGCCAACGATAATTGCTTCACTATAATAGTCAGACGATTCTGACAAGAAAAGGTCCACACCTTTCTGGAAAGCCAGAACAACATCCCTTCCTTGCTTGTGAGCTTCCTACTCAGATAATTTTGACAGTATTTTCCTTAAGTCATGACAGCAGGTGCATCAACACCCAGTTGTTCCAGGCACTGGGAATACAAGTGAACTATGTCTGCGAGTCGGAAGACTGCGGGACCTTCATCAGATCTTGTGGTCTCCATTAGATATGTGGCTATCTCTGAGAATGCCTGTGGTGGGCATTCTTTTTGGGTGCAGATTCCTATTCCAGTCTCTTGGTGGCTTTGAGGTACGTCCTCTCTTTATTATACATGCAAAATGGTATGTAAGCTCCCGTGCAATAGCATCTCCACCGTTCAATTTTTCAAGAAGTTTCCCGTCATTTAAAGTTTAGGGAAATTCATGAAGTCTATTATTGAGGTTCATCGTCATATCTTGTCTGAGTTCAGAGAATGGGGTTTCTTTGTCACAAATGAAACACGTTTTGCCTTCAAGGATTGTTCTCCGCAGCTTGGTCTGGCATTCTACTGGCTGAGCACATTCTTCTCTTCTTTCTCTGACTCTCTTCAGATTCGTGTTGTTGAACATAAGGCGACAACTTTGGTGATACTTCGCCTTGTTCCTCTTCGGAGTTTCTTCCATGCCACCACCATCATCAAGTCTGGCTGGATCCAGAACAATAAGTATTTCATTAATTGCGTGAAAGATTAGGAGTTTAGTTTTCCATCATCTGTAGTAATTGTCACAAAAATACATAGGAAGAAAACTCTAAATAAAAATTATATGAACACAAAAGGAACATTTTACAAGATAATACCTCAAATGCATTGGTTGCCCACTGTCACAAGACTGGCGACAATTTTGTCATAAAAAATGCTACACTGGGGAAATAATTCACTACGAAGTAAATGTCTAGAGATTGTCTTAATCGCAAGGTCATTTATTGCAAATTTGTGACCTGACTCTTAAACATGTCACCATTCCTGGCAGATCTTCTAATGTCTTTCATATTAGATGTCAGCCAGTGCGACTAGCATGTGCTGGAGTCATATCATGCATGACACACACGTTTTTGTATTAGCAGGGGTACATCCTCTAGCAGGTCTGGAAGTAATGAAAGTAAACAGCTCCTATAAGACGTGCTGGAAGAACATATGGACCTACCAGATAGTCACCTACAATTCCAGCCCACATATTAATCGCAAACTGATGCTGGTGTCTAGCTTATATTGTACCATGTGAATTCTGATCCGCCCACATATGCTGGTTGTGTAAATTTGTTATATCATCTTTAGCAAACGTTGCCTCATCCGTAAACAAGTCTGAAGAGACAATAAACCACCGGCAAAAGTTTTTCCTGTGGTGAGTGATCGGAGGGCTAAAAAATTGCACACGTTGCAAATGATACCGATACAGGAGCTTCTCTTGAAGTACTCCCGAGGCTGTACTATGAGATGTACGACATGTTAGGGCCACTTGTGCTGATACCTAAATCGTTCCGACAACCTGTAGAATGTGTTCTTCTTGGATAGGCGTATAAGTGGACCACGGTATTTCTCGATTCGGTCTGGAAACGCAATCTGATACTGTCGTGCAGCCTCGTGTCCATTACCATTCGCGAGGCCGTAAGTAAAACTCATATCTACATGCTCACGATGTGATTATCCTGCCATTGTTAAACGGAAAACGTCTCAGTTAAATCATTAAGATACACGTTAAACGTTGAAGACAGACGAGCTACAAATTTTCACAAATGAAAAATGTAACTTAATATACATACAACACAGCGCCATCCTACTTTAAACTGAATAACTAAGATACGAAACATTTGCGGACATGTTTATATGCATATTGTACTTGTTTTTTGTGAGGAAACCGCTCCTAACGTTTGTAAAAGTATTTTTGATACACCATATATATATATATATATATATATATATATATATATATATATATATATAGTGATAAAATATAGTATAAATGCTCAGTATAAGGGGAGAGCGTAAGTAAGTATAAAAATGGACATTGGGGTCAACAACGAAAAGCGACAGTCTGTTTCATTCTTGAACGCAATCTTCAGGCTATAAATAGTCGTGTCAACACACACCACACATAGCCTAATCATTATACTCAAGTATGAAACAGACTCTCGCTTGACTTATATATATATATATATATATATATATATATATATATATATATATATATATATATATATATATATATATATATAGGGTGTATAACAAAGGCAATTGATGTGGCACCACAACTACATAACCTTCAACAACCCATCATTTTCCAGTAAGATGGTGCACCGGTGGATTAGAATTGATGGTCCAATGCCCTGGTCACCTCGTTCAGCACATATCACTCCTCTGGACTTCTTTCTATGGAGTTATGTTGAAGATATCGTGTATCGAACAAAGATACGGGACCTGATTGATCTAAAGCAAAAGATCACTGATGCCATTGCCTCCATACCGATACAGGAGCTTCTCTTGAAGAACTCTCCAGGCTGTACTATGAGATGTGCGACATGTTAGGGCCACTTGACATGTTCTGATACCTGAATTGTCCCGACAACCTGTAGAATGTGTTCTTCTTGGTCAGGCGCACAAGCAGATCACGGTATTCCCCGATCCACAGTTTGCTGCTTCAGCAAAGCGACGATAAACAGTAGCAAAGTTGACTGGGAGTTTTGGTGGGAACTTATTCATTTTAATCATTTCACATAAGCAAGGCGATAATGCCACTAATACGCAAAGAGTGAAAGGGAATGAGAAGAATTTAGGAGAAGGAATCGAAAACCCAATCTTAAACAAGAAAAAAGGGATACACCTCAGCTCTTGTTCTAGAGATGGGGAAGGTTTGTGAACCAGGCGATAGGCGTATGTATTAACTCTTACTGACTGGCTATATTTAAAATCCATTGTACTTTATTGACTTCAGTATGACAATTCTCAATCATTTTGTCGTTAAACCTGACAAAAATTTGTATTACCTTTTCCCTAACTTTTTTTTTTTTTTACCTCAGATGGGTCTGTTTCTCAATCTGAGCAGATGGCATCTCTGCATTGATGTGTATTTGGTTTTGAAGAATACGCCTTGGAGTGTATAGTCATTGTTATTAAAGTTATTTTCTCGTGTGTAAATAGCTTCATTAGTCCTTTTTTGCTATGGCATTTATAATAGATTTTAGTAACTTTTGTAAGAAAGGGTCTAATGTTATTATAGTTCTTCTGGGGTCTTTTGTGGTTCTTGTGGCGCTTGTTAAAGTGTTATCGAATTGCAAAACGCGCAATTAGAGACCCAACACATACCGAACCCTACCAATAGCCAGAACAAAATGGAACCATGTTTCTTCAGGCAAGTTCCCAGTTGAGAAGCTCTGTCCAGTGTCGTGGTAGGCACTCCGTTATGTCTACTGCTCCTATATACGATGTAAACTAAAGAAACAACCTGCTAGATATGCGATTGCCAACCCCGCATTGAATGCGAATGCAATTTGAGCCAGTGTCGTTTGTCTGTTACCGCAAACAATTCTCATCAGATGTCTCTCTAGACAGGGTGATAAGGACCCGTGGATAGCCACTGCGTCTTGTGCACGATGGATACAATACCTAACGTCCGGAAATCCCGCGACACAATAGTTCTGGGATGTTAAATGCCACCACAATTTAAAAACAGGAATCTTTTAGCCAGAATTTATTTTACACTTTTATAAATATCACCGTTCGTCCTTGCGTTTAATATTGATACCAAATTCTTGTATGGTGCTTCTGCAATGTATCCCACACATTCTTGGTGAAATCGAAATAAAAAATCTGCAATATTATCAGTCCTGACCTGGCATTCCAGCTTTAATCACTTTCCCACCGCCATAGATTCTCTTCCTTATAACTATTTTCATGGTAGTTATTCCGATGAGCTTTGGTAACGCGACTTCACGAATTTAAGCCCAGTAAATGGGTTTGCGGGTCGTATTGAGGATTTGGAGCGCTCAAATTGCTAAGATATAACCATAAGTTCAACATCAATTGTCCTCTTCCGTCGCATTGATTTTTTTTTGTCCTTTCTCTTTAATAACTTTTTCTCAGTTTCTTTCAGACCCAGTAACCCTTGCGTATTGGTGACTTTATCACCTTACTTGGGTTGAAATGATTAAAATAACCCGATCCATTTTACACCCAATATAATGTCCCGTTCGAACACAAACATTTCAAGTTTTTCTTTTTAGCTCGACTCAACCAATGTCAGGAAACAACTGATGTAGGTTTTTGCATTTCTATGACGCGTTACATTCTGCAATCATTTAACTTTTGGCACGTCATTCTTCATCTTTAGTTTTCGCTTTTAATTCATTTTCTAGCGTTTTTTTTTCTCTCTTTCTTAATCTTCTTTTAAAAAAATTCTTTCATTCTAATAGTTTTACAATTTTTGTCTTAATTTCTTTTTTTTTTATAGATGTTTTTCTTCTTCAGATGCGCATGCGCCGAAAGTCTTAAACAGAATAAACAAAATCAGCGAATTAATAACGGCCAATTAGAAATATCGCAGACTTTGGGCTGCCTTCTCGAAGATCTTTCTCATTTCCGGCTGTCATTAAATGTCAAAATACTTTTTTCATTCCATTTGTACACTTGCCAGTTTAAAGAAAAGTAACGAAACATACCAACATGGAAACGTTTGCCATGCTACAAGCGGTCATTTTCGCTACACGCAGTGACTTCCGGCCAGACTTTTTCATTAACTTCGTATGTATCTGTCTTGATATCATTTCGTGACTTCTACGGTCTAATTTACGTTTGTCGTGTGTTTCGCTTCTTGGGAAATAAGATAAGCTGAAGTTTCAAACCGAATATATATATACCGGTTTTAATAGCAAAATTGTCCAAAAGGTGTATCAACCTAATTGGCCATCCTATAAAATGTTTAATATTTAAAAAAAAAAGCCAAAAAAAAAACAAACAAAAAAAAAAAAAAAACTAAATTAATTGAATTTCTTTATTCCAGGTTTTCAGATAAGATAATTAGCCATCTTTATACCATTTGAATCACTGAAAAACTCTTTGAGATATTCAGTCAGAAAGAGAGCATGTTAAAATCGTTTTGTGTTAGCTCCATTATCTTCCCAAATGAGCAATGGTGAGAGGAAAAGTATCATTCAGGCCTTCAGTAATGGTATAATATTCTGGCTTCTATCTTCAAAGTCTATTTAAGAACCATCAAGAGAACGGTGAATAAGTTTAAAAAAAGAGGGAACAGTAGAGAGGAAAACTGGACCAGGAGGTCGCAGCAGGAAGAGGGATCATTATTTCAACTTAGATCTAAAGAGATCAATTAGAAAAGATCCAACTTAATTCATAAGACGTTTGAGAGGTCAGAGAGTAGTTTCAGCTATGACAGTTTAAAGAAAAGTGAAAGAATCTTGAAAATGAAATCGTACATGAAACTCTAGGACAGAAAGTTGACGAGGGGGAAGATCATCTTGAATAAGTTGGAAAATGATCCTGAATTAATATATATATATATATATATATATATATATATATGCATGTAGAGTTGAACTTTATTTCAATCCTTCATGAGCTTCCGATCATTAGCTGTGTTTTTAATTAATCATAAACATGTCATTTTCGTTTGTGATCGATTTCATCACGATCCTTCTGATAAGCTTGGAGAGTAATCATAAATTCTTATTGCTCAAAGTAGATTCCAATAGTGTGATAAAAACCGCGGAAAATTCCAGTAAGATATCTTTAATCATTTCTAAGATACAACGTTTCTGAGCTTAATCTAAGAATCGGACAATTTTGCTGTTACACCAGTTACATATGCACTTGTAATGAGTGTTTTTGGTTAAAGATGCGTATTTTTATACTCTTAAACGTTTTTTGTAATGCAGTCCCAGATGCTGCACTCTTGTCCAACACGTGATTCCTACGTTCTTCGACTGCGGTGTGTGAGAGACTACCCATATTGCAAAAGGAAAGAAAGAATTACAAAAGCTGTTATTTCCTGCAACTACCTTTCTACATTCTGAATGCGGCCGACACGTGGACCCTACATTCTTTGACTGCGGTGTGTGAGAGACTACCCAATTATCTCTGGGATACTTGTTCATATACCCATCTCGCTCTCACGCTTGCAATAAAGGATGCAAGTATGAAGTTAAGTACATTCGGTGGCCGGGCGTAAACATAGATCAACCTTTGAAATTTGGGTGAAATGTCTATTCTGGCATCAGGTTAGAAAAAATGATTAAAAAGTCTTTCTTCCATGTAACATAATCCACTTTTCTCTTGAATATTTCCTCGGTCGAGTAAATGATTTACTACACGCACAAAACTGGTTTTAAAAAAATAACGTTGTACAAAAAAATGGAATATTTAATAAATCACACCCGAGGATTAATTGATAAGTAAGGTATCCGACCGCGAGGCGTCGGTAATAGAGAAAATAGAAACATGTTTGAATATATGTTTGCATATGAATTCCTGTTTAGATGTGCTAAGTGGCAGTTGTGTGACGCCATTGTACAATGGCGTTCGTTAATCATGGCTGTTACACCCACGACAAGTAAAAAAATATCTAGCTGCGAGAGAAACTTTGACAGTCGCAGTGTATGCACCAATCACGTTGCAACTCTTAGACGTATCTTATCAGTCAGCTCTGATCATTTTGACGATAAAATTTGCTTCATTTTGATACCAGGCCTATTCTTCTATCTGGTCTAAAAAGGGGTTTTATAGGATTGAAAGCAATTAAAAATCAACGATCGTAATTTTTAAACCAAATAAACGGACGTCATTTTGATTCCAGTTTCATGCCTTCTATTTGGATCTAAATTTGTTTTTATAGGAATAAACCCAATCGTAATAATCAATCCACGTACCTTTGCAGGGAAATAGCTTTATTTAATTTTGATACCGAGTTCATTATTATAATTGCATATACTTACTATCTATCTATCTATCTATCTATCACGACAGATACTATCTATCTATCTATCTATCAATCTATCTATCACGACAGATACTTACTTACTACCTATCTATCTATTTATCACGACAGATACTATCTATCTATCTATCACCACAGATATCTATCTATCTATCTATCTATTATGATAAATAAGACTTCAAATCATCCCAGGATCACCTCACAGTAAAGGTTTAATAAGTACGGCGAGAAAGCACATCCTTGTCTAAAGCCCCTCTTTATTTTCTGTGTATTTACTGAATTCATTTTATATCCGTGTGCAGACGGCTTTTCCCCAATACGAGTTCTAAATTATTATAACATCTTTCCTAAATAGGTCCCGCTTGCCTAGACTTTGGATCAAGTCTTTGCGTCAAACCCTATGCAACAGTTTTGTATAATCTAAAAAACATAAACGGCCAATATTTACCTATCTCCGATCCAAGTATATGCTTAAGGAATCGAATATGAATGACTGATATTCATCTAAACTCGAACGAAGCAAATGCACATCGACTTAATTATAAACAAAAAATATTTACCTATACCATGACAAGTACATGCTTACAGTTCTCAAATATAAACGACATATATTTATTTACCTATCCTCGAACCAAGTCAATGCATACAGACTCGAATGTAACAATAAAAAAGGGCGATTTCTATATTAAATAACCTAGCCAGGATTAACATGCCTTAAAATCAAACAAACCGAATTTATTTCAGTAAATATTATGAAATGTCAGAAGAGAGGCCATAGTCTGTGAACTGAGAATAATGAAGAATTTTTAAAGAATGTCATAAATGGAAATTGAACTGTTGGAAGAAAAATATTTTAAGTTTCAGTAGAAAGAAGATGGTGGAAATTACGATGTTGATAATGATGGATGAGATTTCAATGGCGCTGTTTTTGAATAAAACAGATGGCACTTTTAAAAAGATTTTGCTATATTTCATTTCTTGTTTGTTTTTTTTACACTTCTTTATTTAGCAGTCAATATCATTTTTTGTGTGTTCTGAAATTCGTATATGGCGTGTAGGTAAGATTTATTTAATGCAAGTGACGAAGGAATTTCCTTTGTTGCAACGATATTTACCTTCGCTTGACTTACGAAATATCCATTTTCAGAAAGACTTCAATTCGATTGTAACAACTCTCACGTTTTTCCCAAGAGTATAGAACGCCAAATTTTTAACTTTTAGAATATTTTCTAACGTTTCCTTCATATATATATATATATTCAAGTTTGGTTTAATAATTTAGACGTGTTATCTATTTATTTTTATTTAAACCCTTTTAATCCATTTATTGGTGGCTTTAAGAAAAATACCAATATTTTGTTTCAAATAATTTTTATTTTCTTAAGTACTTTCAATTTCATCTCAGACAATCTTCTTCAGGGGTAAAATATCTGTGAATGGGTATACCGTATCTTCGTAAATTCAAAATATTTTTTTTTACTGTTCGTTTACTGCGTTTCAATTCGAAATATTTTTTCTACAGCCACTAAGAAATTAATTCGTGCACATGAAAGGATTAAAACTAAAATAAATAGACATAATACGTTTAAATGGACATTGAAGTAAAACTGAACCGCGATTGCGTATAAGCATGAAAAAGACTGTCGCCGCTGAGTGTTGACTTCAATGACCACTTTTATATTTACATACATCCTATCCCTGATATTGGGAACTTTAATCCATAAATATAGTAAACCTTAAAACAATATTTTATCATATGTTTTTATATATATATGTGTGTGTGTGTGTGTGTTGTGTGTGTGTGTGTTTCTAATTTTTTTTCTTAGTGCAAAACAAGTCGACAAAGTGATATGAAAAGAGTGATATAGTTACAAAGAGATAAATTGCTACGAACAGCTTGAGATGGGTAGATATACAAAAACAGACCATGGATATATAGATATATAGTAATAGAATGTGATAGTAATATATATATATATATATATATATATATATATATATATATATAGATGTAGAAAAAGAAAGAATATGTGTGTGTGTGTGTGTGTGTGTGAGAGAGAGAGAGAGGGAGAGAGAGAGCGAAAGAGAGACGGTCGATAGATCGTGAGACAGACATGATCTGATTACAACATATATAAATAAAGATAAACAAACAGCTGAAAACTGACTTAGATAACGAACCGGTATAGATAGATAGACGACAAGCATGTATATATATATATATATATATATATATATAGATAGATAGAGAGAGAGAGAGAGAGAGAGAGAGATTGATAGATAGATAGATAGACGACAAACATATATGAATAGATAGATAGATGACAAACATGTATAGATAGATAGATAGATAGATAGATGAAAAACATGTATACATAGGTAGATAGAGAGATGATAGATATTAAGAAGAATAGTGAGACAGATATATATACATATAGATACAGATATAGATACATTTGAACAGATAGATAGTAATAGACTGTGATACATATTTACTTTTTTCAGAAATTATTTTTTTATTTTTTGTGATTTTTTAAACAATAAAAAGTCACGCAAGTTGTGTATCAATTAACATCTTATTTTATGCATTTTCCGTTTAATCTATTTCAACATATTTTGCATTTCTGTCAATTTTTGCAGGTCTTTCAAGCTAAGATATCGAAACAGTGTTTTTGCCAAATTTATTTCTAAGAGTTTAAACTCTGACGCTGTGCAGCCCAGACGTTCTTAAACATCAGTGAATTTTGCAAGTGTTAATGAATACACAATGCAACGTTTCATTGCAAAATTCTGTCACGGTGAATTCGGAATATTTGGCTGAGCCTACGGGCTCGGATATCCCACATTAAATTTGGCCATGTGCCACATTTTCCCGCGTGGGGCGGTTGGTAGAAATCATTCAGTTAGAGATTCGTCTCCAGCTGTGCTGTTCAAACTTTTTGCCTCCGGGCAGAGAGGATACCCGACGAGGCTATATCGAAGGGCAGAGTCTTGTCTCGGGAAACAGCTACCCGATGCCGTTTCATGCGGTGTATACGGGGAATTTTGGGCCGAGCCTACCGCCTCAGATACCCCACATTAAATTCGGCCATGTTCCACATCTGACCGCGTGGGAGGTTGGTAGAAATCTGGCTGTTGGAGATTCGTCTCCAGCTAATCTGGTCAAACTTTCTGCCTCCGGGCAGAGAGGATCCTCAGACGAGGTTATATCGAAGGGCAGAGTCTCATCTCGGGAAACAACTACCCGATCCCATTTCATGTGGGGGTCTACGGGGAATTTTTGTCCGAGCCTACGAGATCGGATACCCCACATTAAATTCGGCCATGTGCCACATCTGACCGCGTGGGTCGATTGGTAGAAATCCGGCAGTTGGAGATCCGTCTCCAGCTCTGGTCAAACTTTCTGCCTCCGGGCAGAGAGGATACACAGACGAGGCTATATCGAAGGGCAGAGTCTTGTCTCGGGAAACAGCTACCCGATATCGTTTTATGCGGGGTATATGGGGAATTTATGGCCGAGCCTACGAGCTCGGCTAACCAACATTAAATTCGGACTTGTGCAACATCTGACCGCGTGGTGTGGTTGGTAGATATCCCGCGTGGTCGGAGTTGCCACGGGAATAGAGCTGCAGAACACGACATGATTCCGTGGAGGAGATAAAGAAGAGACCGAGGATAGAGGCGTGTCCGTTAGAGTTGCCAGGAAAACGCGTGGGTGTGTCAACTATATGAGTGACAACGTCTGGATGACAACGGGATTGGTGGCCTTAAAGCGATGAATCCGCTTGACATGGTGGGCATTGGAGTCGTGGAACACAAAGATATTTGAAAACGAGTGTATAGTGAGGGATTTATCTATACTATCAGAAATTCTATCTAGCAAGACTTGGGAGAAAGTGGAACGGTAAAAGAAGAAGCGATAAATGTCTTAATTTACCAGTGAAAGACGGAAGCATAAAAGACAATTCCCTTGCCGGTGGGAGATGCTTACGACCATTGACATGCATGTGGACACGAGGGTCATTTCGATACAAAGTAAAGAGCTGATAATTGAGCGGAAGGGACTGAAGGCTTCAGAGAAGGTTAAGATAAAAGAGAAATGATTCTACACTGAAAAAATTGGTCCGAATGCTACAAATGGAGAAGAAAGAAAGGTTGAATGGCTTATATGATTTTTCGCAATCTGTTTATTTTCATTTAATCAACTTCACTCAAGCAGGGCAGTATAAGAGACAGAGACGAGAGGGGTTACTGGGTGTGGAAGAGTTAGAAACAGAAACAATTGCTAAGGAGCGAGAACAGAAGAAGAGTAATTAGGGGGACAGTAGATAGCGATTGACATCGCGTTTAAATCTTTGTATATTAAAGTTGGTTGGAAACTAGCCAGCTCAATTCTAAATTGGTGAAACCTCGTCACCAGTTTAGTAATACGCTTATATTCAAAGAGTCTAGGCGCCAAAGCGAAGTGCCCAGCTGGACAATTACCATGAAAGTATTTATAGAAAAGGCAAAGGGAGGAAAATGACTGAAGCCGAGCTGCAAGATCAGGACCAATAATATTGCTAACTCTTCTTTGGATTTTATCAAGGAGCTCAAGGTAAATTGTAGATGTACTAGACCATATATGGCAGGAATATTCTAAGCATGGACGATTGCTAAACATAGATATGTAAGAAGAATCTGGAGGGAAAAAAGTGTCTAATTTGTATATTGTATTTATTTTCATTATTTCTGGTTGAATTGTTCACCTATATTGCATACGGTCCATTATTACTCTTTAGGTCCTGTCACTGGATTTAACTAACTAAATTCATACACAGATGTCCTCAAGGACACATGGCACAGTGGATAAAGACGTTAGTTAGATCCAGCGACAGGACCCAAAGAGCGTGAGTTCAATACCCGGCTAAGGCAGTGGAGAACTTTCAGAGGGGAATTAAGAGGAGATAATTGATAACTGACATCCATTAAACATGGCACGTGGAGCTAGAACAGTCTACCCCAGTGAGCGAAATAAAGGGCTAAGTTGGACATTCCAACCACCTGAAGAAGGCTGGAGTGTACAACTGTCGAAATGTTGTAATAAATATGGCGACAAAGATAAGGACAATAGTCCGAATAATGTAAATAGTGTACATAATACCTCATGTCAGAAATATAGACAAATACTCAAA